GAGAGAGAGAGAGAGAGAGAGAGCTAGCTCTTCTTTCTTCTCTGTCCTTTATCTAGACTGCCAGCAGAAGGTGTGGCCCAGATTAAAGGTAGATCTTCCTACCTCAGAGATCTGAATTAGAACTAGGTCTTTGCCGGGCGGTGGTGGCGCACGCCTTTAATCCCAGCACTTGGGAGGCAGAGGCAGGTGGATTTCTGAGTTCGAGGCCAGCCTGGTCTACAGAGTGAGTTCCAGGACAGCCAGGGCTACATAGAGAAAACCTGTCTCGAAAAACAAAAAAAACAAAAAACAAAAAAAAAAACAAAAAACAACAACAACAAAAAAGAAGTGGGTCTTCCCACTTCAAATGATCTAATTAAAAAAAAAAAAGATCCCTAACAAGTATGCCTAGCCTTTTGGGTTTTAGTTAAGTTCAGATGTAGTTGAGTTGACAACCAAGAACAGCAATCACAATGACTGAAAGCAACTTGGGAGGAAAGGATTTGATTCAGTTTAGTTTGTTGTTGTTGTTTGAGACACGGTTTCTCTGTGTAGTCCTGGCTGTCTTGAAACTCATTCTGTAGACCAGGGTGGCTATAAACTCAGAGAGCCTCCTGCCTCTGCCTCCTCAGTGCTGGGATTAAAGGTGGGTACCACCACTTTCTGGCTCAGCCAGCTCTTATACAACCTAAAACTATGTGCCCAGGGCTGGAAACAACTGCAGTGAGCTAAGCCCCACCCCCATCAGTTACTAATCAAGAAAATGCCCCACAGGCCATTCTGATGGAGAGAACTCCTCAACTGAGTCCTCTTCTCAGATGTGTCTAGGTTTGTGTCAAGTTAGAATACAAATAAACAAAGAAACCCATCAACTAGCACACTTGCCTTAGGTGACAGGCAGCAGAGACAGCAAACCTCTTTCCTCCAGTCTCTGTAGTTCGATTGATTGGTAGTGGCTGCCTATGTGAGTTACACACCAGGCCCGATGCAAAGGAGGACTGAGTGATTAGCAATGTCTGTAATAAGAGTAAGGTGTCCGGCTGGGCACTGGTGGCACATGCCTTTAATCCCAGCACTTGGGAGGCAGAGACAGGCGGACTGGTATACAGAGTGAGTTCCAGGACAGCCAGGGCTATACAGAGAAACCCTGTTTCAAAAAACAAAGCAAAAAAAGAGTAAGGTGTCGGGTGTGTGTGTGTATGTGTGTGTAAGTATGTGTAATGTATGACACACATGTCCTTTCCTTTTAGAAGAAAGTCTAAGTAGTCCTCAGTCTTGTGTGCTAGATTTACATGACGTCCAGTCCATACCCATCTTTCTGTCTCTCTTCTCACCCCCTTAACCTCAGTCAGTTTCAGCTGTGTGGGTTGAATAACTAAGATAGAGATCTGACCATTTTCCTCCGTTATCTTTTTGTCTCCTTCCTGGGATGTAATGTCATCCCGGGGTGACATTAAAGTGCTCACCTTGCATCTAAATCTCATCCATGGCCACTGACATCCACACATCCCAACTATTCTGTTTCCTTCTGTCACTATGATAAATTCTCTGACCAAGAGCAAGGCAGGGTTTATTTCAGCTTACACCTCCAAGTTGTAGTCTATTGCCCAGGGTGGCCAGGGAAGAAACTTAAACAAAAACCTGAAGGTGGGCATGCCTGCTAGTCCATGCCGAATCACCTCTGACTAAGAAACAGCCAAGAAGTACAGCAGTCCCGTGGAGGCGGATGCTGGCTGTCTGGCTCATGCTTAACTACCTTTCTGATGTTTTCAAGTATATGAACCTATAGGGGGCATTTCTCATTCAGACCATCATAAGACACTATACATTTGTGTGTGCAACTACATGAGCATTTGAATATACCACATACACTTAATCTGTAATTGAGAAGGGTGAAACATTAGCTATGTGGATACCACTACCATAGAACATATTCTGGTCGAACTTTAAGTGCTCACAGGTTAAAGCAGAGAGCATCCAGAGGGTGGCTGCCTACTTAGGAAGTCTTGGGACCACTGGAGGCATCTGTTCCTCTGTGTGACGATTCCTCCAGGTAACTGTAAATGGCACATGCCTTCTTTGAAGAACCTTCTGG